TGTGTGTGTGTGTACTATAGAAACAAGAAACGAACATTACACGATTTTTATTTTTGATATGTAGTGCATTGTTGTAGTTTTATGATAAAAACTTTGACTGATGCTGAACTCAGCTACATAATCATATTCGAGTCTCATACTATCTGTCCAGAATCTCTGATTATCATCCTGACAGAAAATGTGTCAAGGCAATATTCAATACTATTTAAGTTTATGAAGTGATTTCTTGGAAAGAAGATTCGGGCTGTGCTTCTTGCTGGCTGCTGATATTCATGCATATTTCTGACCTTCTAGTTTTGGCAGAAGTCTGTATCTAATATTTTCCCCTTCATTTATCATGAAATATTTAGCTAAAGGCCACATTATCTATTGATAATGCTTTACCATTTTACACCTTTTGTTTGTTTTTGATTGTCTGACATTCTTATTCTTAGTTCTATATTCAGTCCTTGATTTGCTAGCAATAATGTCCGTTAACATTGTATTTTCTTTTGGTCTCAGACAAAATCAAGCCTGCTGATGTAGGTCTTGAGCAAGAAGAAAAACAAGTTCGTGGGTGGAAAGATTCCTCGAATGAACGCAATGGTGGGGGGCGTCGATCACTGCCGCCAATCAAATACCTGCACCTGCATGAATGTGATAGCTTCTCTGTAAGTATCTTCTCATTGGTTCATTACATTTTTTATAATCTTTGCTTGCGGTCAACATGATTTTGATTATGGTGGTGGTTTATGTGCAATTTCTGTTTTTGAAACTATATAATCGTATAATTGAGAGAAAAATATTTCCTGCAGATGGGAATATTTTGCATGCCACCTTCATCTATCCTTCCTCTTCACAATCATCCTGGGATGACAGTGTTTGGTAAGCTGCTATATGGTTCATTACATGTAAAATCCTACGACTGGATTGACATACCTGAGCCATCTGACCCATCTCAAGGTGAGCTGTTAAATGTTATTCAGCTATTGGTGTATTCTCTCTTCCTCGTGTTTGAGGTAAATTTGCCTAATTTAAAGTTCTCTATATTCGTGTCTCCTCCAACACCCTGTCTCACATAGGTAGGAGCTTTGTGAGTGGTTTACAAGGATATTAGGTAGCTTTAGCTATTGTCCAAATTCATGTTTCTGAAGGTAGTAATCTTCTCTGTGTTGTCTTGGTTGGTGCTAACCACTCAGATG